TAATTGGTCTAGTGGGATTTAGAGTTTAATTCTCTTTGTATCGTTTAGAGATGTATAGCTTCATTAGATACTTGTGCTCAGAGAAGTAAGAAAGTGAGACATTAATCTGACACAGACCAGAAATGTTTGCTTAAGTGCCTGTTGTGCTTACAGTGCCTCATACAGTTTTTGGTGCCCTACTGAGTAACGTAATAGTTACACAGCATGAGTCCTATAAACTTAGCCTACAGGATTCTCAAGGGGACCCATTTGTTTGTTCTAGTTTAGAGTTTCTCTAGAGTAAGCATATGTAACACAGCTACTGTCTTGCTTGAGTTTGGCTGATCTTAATTTCTATGTTGTTGCAAGGTACACATTAATAAAGTATCTTTGCATTTGGTATGGTATGTTTCACATATGCCTGCCTTGAAAGCCAGTGAAAAGCTTAAATTGTCCTATTCAACTTAAAAGTTTGTGTATTTATAGCTACAGAGCTATTGTAAAAGCTTTATATGTTTCCTGAACATCCAAGCTGTGTGCTGCAGTAGACTTAAAGCCTTCTGTTCTGAGATAAGGGTGTACATTTCCTTGTATCTGTCGAGTCAGGGTTTTTTTTTCATGAATATAATCAGTACTTACGGAATAATTTACAAGCAAATTAGAAGTAATTCCAATATTTCCTCCAGTTAGTCCTGATACATGGTGGCAAAATATTCTGACAGCTTTAGTGTTCAGCTTTATTTATTGGGAACACAAACGTTGTTTTCTGACAGCTTTATTATTCAGCTTTATTTATTGGGAACACAAACACTTTTTTTAGCAAAATGGATATAAAATATTTATATCTTGAAAGTTTCAGAATGAAATATATTAAATAGAATACTTTTTGATATCTGTAAATCAGGATAATGATGCCTGCATTCAAAAGCATTCTGCTATTGGTGCTAAAAATATGGATATTATTCTTTAATATTCCGTTTGTAGTCTAAAGTCCTGGATATCATTCATTCTCTGGTAGGAGAATACTGGATACTAGTAAGTCACAATCTTTCCATCCTTGTTTTCTCTCTCTGCTCCAAGACCCTTTATAATAACAATCATACTCTCATATACCTTCCCAGAGCAGTGCTTCTTTCAGTGATGAGCAACTCACTGCAACTGAACATTTTGCTTTCACGCTTGTTGTGGTTGAAGCTGCCTTCATGCACAGTGACAAAGTGAAACTGAGTCTGTCATGCACTTTCAGACACACCATTGTACATTTTGTATGACTGACTTCTGTAGCATAGGTTTTACATATATATACATCTTCCTACGCATAAATTTGCTAGGAGAAAGCTGATTTATAAATGACACAGAAAGCATAAATATCTATGAATAAAATGAATTACTATTTCTTAATGATTTTTAAACATGAAGACATCGGTATAGTGATTGCACCCTTAACTACTACTAGTGAACATTACATGCTAAAGAGATCCAAGCACCTAAAAATCCATAGGAAAATTATTACTTTTAAGTACTATTTTATGTTGCTTTTTTTGTGCTCAATAGTGGTTACATTTTTAATAGCATTACCCCATTTCAGCTATTCCACAAGTTTTATTGCCATTGTTGCCTAATGTAATCGCTACTATTAAGACTGTATTTTTATTACTGCTATATTTCACATGCAGTTGCTAGAACTTCACATTTTTAATTTTATGTAAGATAGTACCACAGACAGTGCCTCGCTTTGAAATCATAGGAGCTATTACGATGCATAGGATGGAAGTGATTGTTAATATAATGTGTTTGGCTGAGAATAAAGATGTGTGTTGAACAGCACCTCATCAAAAGCCAGATTCTGATGAGAGACTGTCTCATAAATCCATTATAGTTGGGATTCTGGAAAAGAAATCTTACTTTTAGACTTAGTGAGAATCTGTGAGTTTAAATCCATGCTCCTTCCTCGCAGATATTAACTGTAACATAGCATCAGAAAATGAACACAGAAACTAACTGTGTTGTTACGAACTGGTAAAGAGGCATCCTCAGGTCATTAAAGTGATAACAGGTATGAGAGCTGGACAGTGCATCTGTTTGCTGGAAACAGTCCACAAGAAGCACCTTGAATGCTGTGACAAGGGCAGTAATACGACAAACAGGTCAATTGCAAAGTCTTGCAGCAAGCTGACTGCACATCAGTGTGAGAATTAAAACCCATCTGTGATGGGCTGTACGAGGAAGGTACAACTGCATGAAAGTGGATGCACCAGCAGGTACAATACAAAAAACTGGAATGTGCAGAAGCAGCATAAGGTGACCCAGTAGTGTGCTACAAGGACATCTTAAAGGCATAGTTGACTGAAGGCAAGTTACTATGAAATTTCCGTGGATTTGTGAACACTAGAATAAGAAAGACGTAGATATGTTGAGCAGAAAGAGCAGGAAACTAATAACAATAAATTTACAACAACATGAATTATCTCATTACTAACACATCTCAAATATATAATAATGTTATTATAGGGGAAAAAATGGAAAGAGAACCAAGTGAAAAAAACAAACAGAAACTTATTATCATTTGTGACTTTGCTGAAGAAAGATTAACAAGTCTTATTTATTAGGGATTAATGAACAATTAGTGCTGAGAGAAGGGGTAAATCAGAATGACGAAGCTGTGTATAGCTCAAAACTGTATATTATAACACTGCTTTAATTCTGTAGAAGTACTCCATTTCAGTATTACATAGGACCATCTGCACTATTGAGCAGCTCAGTGTGTTTAGCCTAAATATTAGCAGCCAATAATTAAAAATGTACATTCTTATGATATTTAAAAAACCTTCTAATGAAGTTTTCATCTATATGTTGAAGAAATAATTATCTATTCTGGAATCCTAGAAATGTACCTTGCATTTGAATTTTTAAGCAATGAAAATTCAAAACATGAAAATTAAACTTATATTTATTTGAAAGTGAGTACTAAACAAGATTATATATATTTCACATGACAAGCCTGTGCTTCACAGTTAATGAAAATAAAGCACCTGGAAAATGGAGGGTCATTGATTTGGTATCACGTACATTTTATTCCGTATGTAGGTTCTTTTGAGTCTTTGGAAAGAGAAGAATTGAAACTATAATGTACAGCACTAGGGAACTATGCAAAATATCTGGAGACAACTGGTGCCACAATAACACAGCACTCGCAAAATATCTTTCAGAAAAAGATGTTTTGTCCTCTATTTTCCAGCCGTCTCCATTAGCGATCCGTCTTTCAGAAGCAGTGAGTCATCGTGGATGTCGTTCGCACCCTTTCACATCCGCCGTGAGACCCACGTCAAGCTGCAGTTTCGGGCTCTTTCCGCAGACGGGATCCTGTTCTACACGGCGCAGCGCCTCAGCTCGCGGGCAGGTGAGCGCAGGCCCCGGCGGCCCCCACGAGCGGGGCCGGCAATATAAAACAAAGCAATATAAAAACTGATGAAACCGAAGTCAAGAGAAAGTGAGTTGACGATGATAGAGCTAGTGAAGTTCATCAGAGTTTACTATATAATGCCGCGAAGTTCTCTGGTGCACAGCATGCAAAACACGCAGAATGGAAAAAGTATATATCTAAATACAGTGTTTCTCTCTTTATAGAAGCATTTCTAAACACTAAGTCAAAGCAAGAAAGCATAATTTTCTAACTAGTGTAAAAGCATTTAAAATTTAGTCTCTAAGGTGTACATTTGTTCTAATATATTTTATTAACATATTTCGTGCTGCATTTCTGTGGCCAGAAGCATCACATATAATTCTTAACATATGATCTTAGATCAGTGCTGAAATTTTCTACTCGTATCAAGTAGTAAGTTTTACAAAAACAGGGCTTTTTATGATGAGAAGATATTTAACTGTAGATTTTTTTGTTGAAAGTCTAAAGGTTTGAGACACTTCAAGAACATGCTCAGACCCATGTACACACATTACACACAGATTACCTAATTTACCACCTTCTAATTCCACAGAGAAGTTTTAACAGGCTACAGTTAGGTAAGACCACTAGGGTCAAAATGCAGTGCTGGTATTTTCTGCTTGCCTTTTTCTAATTAGAGCCATCTTTGAGAAGCAGCTACAAAGAAAAATACATAGAGTAGCTGAAATAGAAATATATTTATTTGCAAAGATTGTCTTCAACAATGAACCTTTTATATTTTTATCACTTACAGGCCAAATTCTGATATACTCTGTGTTCTCTCCTGTGTAAGTTAAAGCATTACATGGGCCATGAAAAACAGAAGGGAAAAAAAGGCCCTCTCTCAAAAACACCCCAGAATAGGTGAAGGTCATGGAAGCAGCTAGTGTATAAAGAAATTTAATATCTCTTTGGAAGCATCAAACATGCAGCCTGTTTAACTTGGTCTAGGAGTGGTCTAGAATGAACAAGCCCTAGTTCTGTTGCCAATTGTGAATGTTTAGTTTGCAAAGGAGGGAGTATTTTTTAAAAATCTCTGTCTAGAGTCATGCAAATTTAATTTAAAACCAAGAATATAACAAAGTGATCATCTATGAAGTTGATTGTTTTACACTTTCCTACTCCCATTTTTACTATGCTGAAGTTCTGAAAGATTAAGGAAAAGCTAATCATCTGGTTCTTTACATTTGACTTCATATAATCCTGTCAAATCCAGACAAAATTAGACTGATGAAAGGCTCAGAAGTATTCTTAGCAGCCAACAGATGTGAAAGAGCTTTCTGTTTCGGATTAGTTTACAAAGCACTTTACATAAAGCCTTTTCTTCTACATAGTTATGTAAGATTTCATAAATTGATTGTCCAAAACCACAAGATTTTTTTTCTAAAATTCTTGTTTAATAGAAAATAATGGGGGGGCATTTCTATTCTCTGGTTTTTGTTTGTTTTCTTTTCTTTCCCTCACTAAACAATGCCATTTCTGTAAAAGAAATGAGCTCTGACTGTGCAGCTAATTTAGGAATGAGACTGAGTTGTGTTATGCCACAGTAGCACAGTTACATGGTGGCTTTTTAGCCACATGTAAATGCGTTACAGCACAGGGATTTTCCCTGAGAACTGCAAGGGACCACACATGTCAAAACAAAACCAAACAAAAAATCCCCCATCAGAAAATAAATGTTTTGTTGGTGAAGAAGTAACTATGAGGCTTCCTTGGAACATTTCCTTCTCGCTTTGTTCTTTCTAAAGAAAAATACATGTTTATAGAGATGGTGGATACTTGGGTAGTCTCTCCACTCACACATTGGTATGCTAGCTCGAGTCTCCACTCCTTTAAGAGTATAGTTACTCTAGTACATACATTTAATAGCTAGCACAAAATAGAAGGCAGCCTATCAATTGTTTTCTATTAGCAGAATTCCCTGTAATTCTGCCAATCGTGGTCTCTTTTCCCTTGTCAGCTGTTTCAGGAAGTGTTTCACAGCTTTGAATCTGGTAAAATTCCTTTGTGCTACTCCTAAGAAGGTACTTCAGAAGCCTGGCAGACTTTTAAGTGGATAATTTTTAATAATAAGTTGAAAAAAAAAAGAGAGCAAGCGATCTGTGTGCGCATGTTTCAGTTTGGAAGCTCGCACACGGAAGACAAAGGCCTCCTCCACCTCTTCCATTACTGTCTCACACCAGGGAAGAGGGTCTCCTCCCACCCCTTCAGTTACTACCAGGGAAGGTAGAGATGTGCTAGACGCACACAGCTATATGTAACGTTCCTGAATGAGGCCTTAGCAAGTACATGTCACTGCTATGGAGTTCCACAAAGTGGTGGTAGAAGGCACCTCACAAGACCCCAGTCCTGAAGGGTTGTGTTACCTTCTTTCTGACAAAGTGAGAGAGATCCATTGAATAACCTTTAGTTCAGACAGGGTTAGTCAGATGCTACTCAAATGTTTCAACAGAGTCTAATTTAATACAATTTACATAGGGTCAACCTATATACTTGAAGGTCCTGGCACTCCAGGTAAAAAACAGTAAGGAAGGACCATGAACTTTCTGTTGAGTCATAACATCAATGGAGTTTTACTCCTGTTCATAAAGGTGGAATATGCTCCAGACTGTCTGCCCTAGGCAAAAGAACAGGTCTACTGGGTGACGAAGAAGCAAGTTCCGTTAACAAACAGAATAGGATGAGTCACTCTAAATTTAGTACACAAGATTTGAAACAAAAGCAATCTCTTTCTTAAACAAGGCTGTGTTGCCTACCTGGCCTGAAAAGGTTAGAAAAATTAAGGCCTGAAATTTAAGGAATTCTGACTACATGTGCACACACACACACACACACAGAATCACACACAGACTCACAGGATGGTTGAGGTTGGAAGGGACCTCTAGAGATCATCTAGTCCAACCCCCCTGTTCCAGCTGGGACACCCAGAGCACGTGCCACAGGGTGGCATCCAGCCGGGTTCGGACACACACAAACAGAAAAAAACTTTAAGTCTGAATATAAGAATGAGGTGCAGAGTATTGCTGTGAAATGTCTACATGCTTTAAAATACATTGTTTATTGTAGAAAGTGAATCACACTATAGAACTGCACCAAAATTCTTTAAAAATGTTCAGAATAGCTGGAACGTCCAGATAAGAACAAGTGCTGCTTTCCTAGTTACCAACAAATTGTCTACCTACCTGCTTTTAGAAGAACATTTCCTTTGGCAGATATATTTCCTTAGCAAAGAGGGATGTACTTTCTGCTCAGTTGATGGTTTTTGGAATCATTTGCATGGACAAAATTAGCAGTGGAGATAGGCAACAGTTCTGCCTCCTCTGTGGCAGAACTCTCACCCCTGCTGACCTGGGATCCATTTTGTGTGGAAAACCCCCAGTTTACTCTGTTACTCTGCCACTGCCAGGCAAAACAAGGATCAGGCAGCCAGACTCAGGCTGCTCAATGAGGGTGTCTCCCAGCTGCTAAGGTGCTGGGGGTAGTGCTGTAACAGGAAGCAGAAGGCTTTCCTCACCCAGGAGAGCAGCATTTTTAAGAGGAAATGCTGAATAGTCCAACCTACAAGTAAGTAATAGCCACCTCTTCAGGATACATGCACATCCCTATGTAGCCAGGGCTGTTCTTCACTCGCACATCACGCAGACATCGTGCCTTACTATGATGGTAAACATCACAGAATCACAGGATGGTTGAGGTTGGAAGGGACCTCTAGAGATCCGCCTCTAGAGAACCGCCCTGCTCGAGCAGGGGCACGTGGAGCACGTGGCACAGGGCATCGTGGCACAGGCACGTGCCAGGCATCAAGCCAGAAGAGTAACACCTTCCTCCATGCACCAGTCCCACACTGCTGTTCTCTGCGGCCTCCCTATTGCCCTTCCCCATTAGCCTCTATGCCTGCCCCACACAACATCCTTCCAGTTCCTGTTTCCTAAATTTCCTCAGCTTTCTTCATATTTGTAGGTGTAGTTCAAAGCGGTATTCTCTCCTTTCATATTGCCTGTAAGGCCAGAAGCAGAGTACATAAAAAAAAAAAAAAAAGATTTACAAAGGATCCTAATATTTAATGGCATAGAGGCCACAAAAGAGGCATGAAAATGGGGGAGAAAGATGGGTGGGGAGGGGGCAATCCAGGCTATCCACTTCTAGAGCTGTCACACCACCAAAGCCAGGGCAGCCCAATTGCCTCAGAGAAAGCAGAGCATGCATGCTTTAGACATTCTTCACTGCATTTAGTTGACAAATCCAACAATTTAGCATATGGAAATTCAGATTAGCATTTAACAAGGCTGCAGAAAATGAGCAACTGACTTGAGGAAGTGTGGGCATAAAAGCATGAGGATACTAAAGGATATGCTGTTGTTTAGCGAGCTTCTTGTAAAAAATGAAAGCCTGTTTTAAACTGTTTTCTACAGGTGACTTTCTATGCATATCCTTAGTAAATGGATTTATACAATTGCGCTACAATCTTGGAGACAAGACAGTCATCCTGCAGACTTCCCAGCAAGTCCATACAGAAGGAAACACATGGCATACCCTCAGAGCAGGAAGGGTCGGAAACGAGGGCTACGTGGACCTGGATGGTGACAACGTGACTCAGGAAGCTGCCGCTGGAATGAGTGCTCTGGACACACACACAGACTTTTTTGTTGGAGGAGTGTCCTCCCTAAATCTTGTCAACTCAATGGCAACAGAAAATGAGCCCACGGGATTCAGTGGCTGCATACGAGAAATTCTTATTAACGACAGAGAACTGAAACTTACTGCGAGCGACGCGAAGGACGGGGCCAACGTCGGCGACTGTGACGGAACAGCCTGCGGGTACTCAGTGTGCAAGAACAACGGGACGTGCCGGGTTGAAGACTCGGGCTTTTCTTGTTCTTGTCCACAGCAGTGGGTAGGGAACACGTGTGAACAGTCTGTCTACTGTTCACAAAACAGCTGTGGGTCTCAAGCTCTCTGTATTCCTCAACCTCATTTATTTTCATATATCTGTGTATGTGCACTGGGATGGTCGGGCAAGTACTGTGACAACAAAATCACATTTTTGACAGCAGAGTTTGTTGGTAACTCCTACATCAAATACACAGATCCACATTATAAAAAGAGAGACCTCCAGCATAGCCGTATTTCTTTAAATTTTACTACCAATCAAACTGAAGGCTTGGTATTTTGGATGGGAAAAGGCGAAGATGAAGACAATGATTTCCTTGCTCTTGGTATTGCCAATGGAACATTAAAAATTGTGGTTAATCTTGGAGAAAGAGTCTCTGTTCCTCTGATTTATAGCAAGTACTCCATTTGTTGTGGAAGATGGCATGCTGTTACTATAGTTCAAAACCAAACTTGCATTAAAGTGTATCTAGATGAGGATCTAATTCTTTTTGAGGATATTGATCCACAAAGAAAATACACTGCTCTAAACTATGGAGGAATTTGTTATTTTGGTGGGTTTGAAATTGGGAAAGAAGTAAGAAAAAAAAAAAGCAGGAATTCATTGGCAGAATTAAAGACGTCGTTCTCTTCCAAGACTCTAAAAAGATCCCGTTAATGAAAGCGGAAGGTTATAATGTTTATAATGGAGATGATGGAAGTTAATTGAAGGAGTGATTTAGATGTTTTAAAAGCAATGTGATTAGATTAACTTCCTTTTCCTTCTGTCTCTTGGGATAGCTGGAGGTCTGAGAGTAAGGAACCAGTGTAGAAAGCACTTAGCAATATTGTCCCTGCATGTTAATGCCTTTTTCTTAATGTAGATTAATAGCATATATAGAATGTGGTCAAACATTTTACTTTTATTCATCTAGTTACTTACTAATAACTTTTAATACTTAATTTAAAATAATAGAAGGGCCTGATGTATTTTGTATTTATATATTTCGCTACACATAGTACTGTAGCCAGATAAATAGGTAATTAGCTTAGAAAAGTAACTATCATGACAGGGTTTTTTTTAGTTTTTTTTTTTTGGCTTTGAGGACAACTTACCTGTTTCATCAAAACTCTGCATGTTATTAAAATGCATTATTCCTTTTATTATAATTTTGTAATAGAAAAGTCAAAAGTGAAAAGCTTGGGTGAGAAATACATCTTTATATAAGACCTTTTTAAAAAACAAAGCATCTGTAATAACTTGGATCCAAGTGCACAAAGACTGTGTTTAACTATTGAAGTTGTTCTCTCTGCCTTTGGAGTCTCTATACGTTACGTGTATTCATTAAGGTAACCAGGTGAGACTGCTTTCATGCTAGAATATTACATTTAAAAATAATGGTTTTAAGGGCAGAAAGGGTAGTTATGATGGTCTAATTTGAGATGAACTTTTAGCTCATAACTTTTCTACCATTCTACAGTAGTTCTACCATAGCATCTCTATTGCTGATTTTGAGACTGAAGAAAACAATAGAAATAACCTGCTTCAATCATTGATTTCCATCTCAGCATTAAAGCTTTGCCTTTCCTCCTAATAATAAACTATCTTAAGTTTCCAGCTAAACAAATACAACTATTCTATCCAATGGAATTACACTGAAGCAAAAAGCAAATAGAAAAAAAAATCACAAAAAAACCCCCAAAAAACTCTCTACATTTTACATATCCACTGCCATAAAAGAAGTTAGTGCCATTATGTGTAACTAAAAAACATGACTTTGTGTGATTTTAGCATATACTAAGTATGCTATTTCTAAATAAGACAGTGTTTTACCAAAAATATATTTCAGTCTTCCATTTAGAAATCAGAACCCTGCTTTAAAAGGTACACTGAAAAAAGTAGTTTATCTGTAACTAAAGCTCCTAAAAAGTATACAATAACACACTACAATCACATAGTCTTGTCTAAACAAAAATTAAATCTTACCTTTCATTCAAAATTGCAGTAAGAGACCATTAAACACAGAAGGAATAATTCAAGTAACCTGGACCTGTATCAAAATATTGCTTGCAAAATCCTGCGGTAGGGAAATGCGCATGAAATGGTTTGGCTTAGAAAACATTCTTCACCACATCAGAGAGGAGAATGCCTCAGTCCTACCACAAGGACACCTGAGGTTTCAAAACCCCCTTGCTGGCACCAGCAGGAACCGTCTGCCCCTTGCGCAGCCTCATATCGCACCCTGCCAGGGAAGGGGCCGAACAGGGACCTGCTCCAAACGCCGGGAGCGGAGCAGCTCCGGAGCAGAGCTCTGCCTGCCCCGCTGGCCACGCTGGGACGCCAGCCCAGCTCCTGGCACTGCTTCATACCGAAACATGACAAAAATGTAGCAGCTTCCTACAGATGATAAATGGCTTGAGAGAATATTAATTTGCTGTGATTAAGAAAAGAATGGCTGGCTGGATTGCTTCAGACTTCCAAAAGTTTTTCCCTTTGACATTATTTGATGGAAGCAATGGAAGTTTTGGAATTTTCGTTATTTTAAACAAAGAAGTTCTTTTCCCAATTTCTCTTTTTCAGAGCAAGTTGAATAGAATGCAAGTAGAAAAACCAAAATGAATTTTACCTTGAATTTTACCTAATGCAACTGGTCAAAAAGATACATTTAACTGATTACTCTACAGACATAAATATTTGCCTGCTGCTGTCCTCCAGCAGAGGTCTACCCTGTTTGCACACTTGAACACTCCCTTGGAACATGGGAAAAGTGGCTCTCTGTATAAATATCAACTTCAGTTCTCCCTAGTAATTCAAAAATTAAAAACCCAAAGATCTGTTTTGCTCTACCTTTCTGGCTTATAACCCCCTTGGATTAAATTTTATTAGACAAAAGCTTTAGCCACAGTAAATTGAATTTCCATTTTCTCATCAATTCATGCTCTCAAAAGCAAATAGTGCATGTACTTCAGGACATGAATGCACAAACTCTATTCCTTCTGAAAAAGCTCCGTTATATTCTACACTTTAGTTATCAATAAAAACAAATATGAAAAATCAGTCATCTTTTAAGCTAGATAAGACAAGAACTAAGATGTCATTTATAGTTCTCATTTTGACTGCTGTCTTACTCTACAAATAAAAAGCTTAAAATATTTGTGATGGATTTCTATTTTTCCTCTTTTTTTTCCACTCTATTATTTCTCAAAAGCACACTCTTAACCAGCAAGCTGCTGCAAGGAAATTCTCCCACAGTAAGTCCTCAGTGGATACAGATTGGGAACAAGTAGCTAATCCTTCTCTTCAAATAAAGCAAATGAGGTATGGAAAAGACACCCATCACTTTCCACTCAGTCATAACTTGTTTGTGGTAAGGAATTTGTTGCCAACTGCCAAACACAATTCAAAGGCTAAGAGAGGCAGAATGATGGAACAAGATGCTTCAATAACCTGACCAACACCTTTTATGAGATTCCTCCTGCCACCCTAAGGTGCTCTGAGCCCTCAAGTGATTGGCCTGATCTGGCCTCCCTCCCGCTTCCCCACAGGCAGCGGCCACTCATGACGCTGAGGAGTCTCTTCCTCTCCCATCTCCTCTTCAAAGGGCCACTTACAGCCACACGCTGGGGAAGAAATCAGGTTTTGGACCTATCCTTTTCCCCCTGGGGTTCCCAGGACACACACAGTTCCCCATGAGGGCACACAGCTTTTTGCAGTCTACTTGCCAAGCAGTGACTCGGCCTAAAGCAAGTAGCGATCAATCAGAGCACTTCCGGCTAGGCCCAGCGGTGGAGGGAGCGCAACCGAAGGCCACGGAAGAGCCAACACCTTTTACTCCTGCAGAAGGGACATGTCTTCCCTGCAACTCATATTCCAGAACCAAGCTCTAGAAAACTGCTTCTGCTTGTTAAAGTCTTAACAAATGGTCCCTGAAGGGCTATTTTGCTCTGGCATGTGTAGGTTCTGCACCTGGCAAGCTTTGAAAATGTCTGCCCTTTCTTACTGAACCATTTCTGGTAATCCTCACTGAGGGCAGCCTGAGCTCTGCAGTACAGGCAGATGCAATTTTCATGGCTACCAGTCTACTTCAAGAGCACACATGCACATGGCTGGGACTTGTAAATAACCACAGACTGAGTGGAGGCTATTCTGGGACCGGCCAGATGAAAACCTCTACAAGCAAAGCTACTAACTTTGCTTAAAACTTAATCCAACACCAAAACAATTGGCCTATCTCAAATCGTTAAATGCAGGCTATAGAAACCGTCAAGGATAGAATTCAGTCTACCATCGTCGATAGCCAGCTTGCACAAAGCAATCCTCCTAAAGCAACTCCCTGCCTCCCCTACACATCAATGGAAAAAATAAAAGTTCTTCCACAGATCTTCTGGAGTCTCCAGATTATCCTATTCTAGGCTTTAGTTCTTAAAATTGCTGAAATGTAATACATATTATTTAAAATAAACTTTTGTCTTTATATATCTCAACAAAACAAACAGTGTATTTGAAGAAAAACTGTAAGAATAGGAGGTTTGGAGTTGTTTTTCAGTTTGGAAGCTTGTTTTTGTTTTCATGGGTGTATGTCAGTCACTACAGAATCTGACTTTACTGAAAAGCCCCCCAGGTACAAACACTGCCCCCCCGTTTCTTCTCCCTCCCTTTCCTCCCACCAAGCGCAAGCAAAGCTGCAACGCGGTGCTTAGCCTCCTGCTCCACATCCCCGAAATCAAACACACACAGTATGTGAGAAAGTTTTATCATTTTAGAATCAAAATATCCCTTAAAATATTTACATTTTACAGTAAAAAGGATAGTAAAACACAAAGTAATGTACAAGCTCAGGTATTCAAGTTTTTGAAGCACAGAAAATGATGGGAGAAATGACTGACTACTACAAATTGTATTTTGAAGAATTTAGTTTAAAAATGTTTTGTTATTAAAACAAGTGCAGTTTAAAGCAATAACATTCGAGCAGATCAGCCTTCCAATTTCTGGTCACAAACTGCTTCAGATGCTTAGGAAATATTTGAAAAATGAAATACATTTGAACCGTTTTATTGTACTGTTGAATAATTTAAAAAGAAGTCTTCACACCACCGAGAATATTATATTTTGTTGTAATGTGTGTAGATTCTCTGCTACACTCTTTAAAAACAGTGCAATTTAAAAAGAAGGTTATTGTATGAAATTCACCTTTAAAATTATCACGCATCTTAAAACAGAAGAGAGCACAAATTACCAAAGGCAGCAACTATATTGCATACTTGACTAAAGCCAACCTCATCAGCTAAGAAAATTTCTAAGCCTTTATTGCATATTAATAAAGGAAATCTTTAAAATTTTGAATATACAGCAATGTAAAATTTTTTAAAATATTAAACTCCTACTTCTAGCGATAGTTGGTATAATGAAAAAAAGGATGAGTATTGGTACAGTGATTGGTACCAAAACACAGACTTGTTTCTGCAAAACACCAACACTGAATAAAAAAAGATGGCACAATCCTAGCAGGCTTTTTTTTTATACAAAGTTTTACGACATTACTCTAAGATTATTTAAATAGGATTTTTTGAAAGACTGCCTGCATCTTTTTTACCTTTTGTTTTTAGTTCTGTCGCTGTGGTCCCTATGTTTATCTCTGCTCTTTTCACTTTCTCGTTCTCTATGTTTCTCTCTACTCTTCTCCCTCTCTTTATCCTTTTCATGAGCCTGCTCTTCAGTTTTAGGCTTATCGGTCTTTTTTTCTGGATTTCTAGTCTCTTTGGGGCATTTTCCATCAGAAGCCCTGTCATTGTGTGGAGGTCGCAATCTTTCCTTGTCTCTATGTCCCTCCTCTCTACTCTTCCTCTCTCTCTCTTTTTCCTGGTTTCTGTCTCGGCGCCTGTTTCTTTCTGCATCTTGCTCCCAGTATTTTTCGTTGTCCCACTCTTTTTCATGTCTGTCTTTCTTTTGGTGATGGGAATCACTATAGAACCTTTGCCTCTGTGGATCACTTTTTCCTCTACTGAAACCTCTGTCCAAAAGCTGTTCTTGTCTGCCCCAAGGGTCACTGTGACGTCTTTCTGGTCTCCTGCTATCTTTACTTTGAAAAAAATTTTCTGGCCCCAAAAATCTTGACTGTTTGTGAGCCACTGGTAGCCCTTGTGCCATGGGTCCGGTATAGTGTGGTGGCTGACCTGACAAGTTAACTACAGGTGGCCATGGCATCATTGGATTTTGAGGAAAGCCAAAGCCTGGAGGAGGAAGAAGTGGAGGTGGCAAATGAGAAGGAAATCCAAACATAGGGCTGTTCTGTGGAGGAAAGTTATGAGGTGTAGGACCCTGAAACTGAAATCCAGGTGCGTTAGATTTAGGATGCTGAAAATTGTGCTGTGGAGGTCTAACTGATGAGAAGGTGCCACTTGTAATGGGGTTTGGGATCTTGGAAATAAAGTCAGAACGAGAAGAATTTTCTGGTTCAAGCTGAGATGAAGTTGTTGCTGGTCCTCTTCTAAATGAGTTCACTGTTTCAATGTTTTGCATCAAGGTATCTTCCTGCAAGTTCTTGGTATCCTCTGCTTGTGAGGTGCAAACATTATCTGCTTTCGTTGCAGTTGAACTATAATGCACCTCACTTGCTTGTGCATCACCTTGGCACAGGTTTAAGCCTTTTTCTCCAGGAGACTGTTTATTCTCTGTTTCCATTTGATCACTTCCTGAAACATTTTGTCGGTCCTCGTTTCTGTTAACATCTCCTTCCTTGTTTTCTGAAGCATTAGTCTGTTGGCTTCGTCCAGCTGCCTGTCGTGGGTCTCTCTTGAGATTAATAAACAGTGGAGATTTAGAGGTATTAGTACTTGTAGTTTCAGCAGAGCCTACATTAACACTGTTTTCATTGCCTTTTTTCCCTGCATTTGATGAAGGAGAAGAGACACTAGAATTTGTGGTCTTTTTCATTTCCTGTCCAACATTCTCCTTGTCATGTAATTGCAACTTTGGATCATCATCTTTACTTTCTTCCATTTCTTTTTTCTGCGACTGAGCAGATAAATTTGCTAAAAATGCTTCTGTGGAAACATCTGGAGGTTTTCCCTTCAGACTAAGGCCCATCAAAGTTCCAACACTTTTTGCAGAACTTGAGGTCGCTACGGTTGTTGCATCCGCTGTTACAGTAGCATTAGGGGATTCCTGTAGACCTTCTAAGCTCGTATTTGTTTCACCAACTTCAGCAGTTGCATCAGCAACATCTATATCCATATTTTCTTCTTTCAAGGTTGCTTGTTCATTTAATAATGGTATGTCTTCGCTGGGACTCACTTCTGTCTTACTCTGTTCATATACTGGCCCTGTGGTACCCAACAGGCTTTGAAGAATATCATCCACTGGCAGTGGTTTATTTGCTAGCTCCAGAGTAGAAGGTTGGTTTTCCCATCCAACCAGGACTCCGGGAAGGAATCGCAGAGGCTTTGGTGGTTCATGTTTGGTACTTTCCACTAAAGGTTCAACAACTGCAGGTACATCTTCTATATTAGACTGCTGAGATTTATTTCTCTGCTTGTGTAGCACAGTTGTGAAGGAATTGAAAAAATCATTTTCTTCTTCTTCTTCTAATGCCAATTCATTATGAGAGACTTCAGGCTTGTTTGGCTTGCTTTTCTTCTCTGGTGGCAAGCTACTCAAGGTGCTTTCAGAAACTTCATCCACAAAGCTACTACTGACAGCAGTAATCTGCCTCTTCATTTTCTGTCGAATTATCAATCCTAGTAATAGATTTGGTCGATGTATTTCAATCCCTGTACAAAATCACAACAGAAATTAATCATTTTGGTTAACATTTTAACACACAAAAAAAACCAGATAATAACACACATAATTTATGCAGTAAATTAATCATTTTGGCTAACATTTTAACACACACACACAAAAAAAAACAGATAATAACACACATAATTTATGCAGTATTTTGTAAAAATATTTTTTTCTTATTAACTCCAGCTTTGAAATCTCCATCAATAATTAGAACAAACCAGAATGATGTACTATACTACAGCAAGTACTATGCTACATTTCCAGAGCAGAGTAAGCAAGACAATAAAAGACAGCAAAAGGCTACAATACTTTTCTTTACAAAACTTTTAAAACAAAGGAATATTCCAACATAAAAGTTATGACTTCAACATCTGCAAATTCAAATTTGTTCATTATGTATTTTGTTCTGAACAATCTAAAGATTCTTGGGGTGGGGAACCAACAAATATGGCCCCTTGTCTTCCCAAATGGGATTCTTGTTCCACTGAGTTGAAGAAATCAGGTATAAGCAGAACAACTGGCAGCCGTTGTTTCAGGATCATTTCTTCCTTGTTTGTCTGTTTTTAAGTTTTCCTGCTTTTTTGTTTGTTTTGTTTTTAAATTTGGAACTCAAGGAAAACAACAAGTTAGTGAAAAATCAGTATTTTTCAAATAATGAAATATATTGGTTTTAATAATGAAATATACAATTAAAAAATCAACATGAAATTCTGTATGACTGCTACCATAGGTCACTTGCATCACTGAATTGAATTTACTGAGATTTTAAAACCAGAGGTGGGGGAAGAATATACAAAAAACAGTTACTCAGTATTTTTTTCTACAATAGCTTTTTTTTTTGAAATATAGAATTATTTCCAATTGTAAGATTATCTTGAAAGGAAGCTATTATAACACTAATACTCACGACACGTTGGAATAGAATAGCTTAGCATTTTTTATAAAACCTTAACTGCAGTTCTAGAAATTATTTCTCTCTTAAATTTCTGGAACATCCTTCTTTAGAGAGTGTTATGAAAATGAGTGCCAAATTGCAGGCTGTACCTACCAGGCCCATCGAAAGGCACAAGATGATGTGGAACTTTATCTGAAGAACCTAAAGGGATGAGATACATATCTTTCACTTGCTTCATATTATTGGCAGCTACTCCATAACGTTTTCTGCTGCTGAAATAGGCAAACAGCAAAGCATAGGAAATCTGATCCTCTTCAGTGACAGGCGTAAAGCGAACTACACAGATTTCCTGTTTACAAAAAAGAGATAAAAACAAAGAAACGAATAATGGTCACATATACTTTACTACAAAATTTCAATTGTTTTGGTGACTTCTTTTAATTTAAAAGTACAATCCAAAGAAGAATAGATATCACTACAGAAACTCAGAGAGGAGAGGAGGAAGACAATGACTAGAGGACCAAAAAGAATCAAGAAAATGGAGAAAACGTGTGAAGACAAAGGTATCATTACAAAGGTATCATTACAGTGACTGACAAAAAAAAAGTTAATATTTTATATTAGCTTGCTAAATGAAAGCTTTATATTACCCTGCTAAATAAAAATTTTAAGGGAAGAATGCAAACTTCCAAGCAATTATTCCCACCCTGCCATTAACAATATTAGAAAGCCTTATTTCATACGGCCTATCATGTCCCAGATACTGATTAAGACTAGGGAAGAGCAGTATCCAAAGCCCAGAATTAGGGACACAAGTAAGGAAGTACATAACTTCCAATTACTTCAAACAATAGTAGTTTTCTTCTGCACACTGACATTAATACAACATAACACATCTTTTAGACTCAAATATCATACCGTATCATCACATTATATCAAGTTATATAATTCTGTGCAACCCAGCATTAATATAACAAGCTGAAATATTTGCCTTAGCATCCAGCTGAAAAAAGAAAAGATGTCAAGCTAAAACAAACAAAAAACACATTCAAATGCCAAAAGGTCTTTCACAGATTTTAGGCCTATATTATTCATACATTTATTGTACTTTTTTAAGAGTAGGTAGAACTACTGCCCCAGAACACATCTCCTCAAGTCTCTCCATCCCAACATCCCTGCTGATTTAGCCACATCTCATAAAACAGTGTCAACCCAGCAAACTTAACAGCACTTGTGACAGTCTTGCTCTGCAAGGGCAGCAATGAGCGTGCTGTTCTTCACCAACAGGTGAATAGGAAGGATGTTTAGTGGCAAGTCTTCTATAGGTAAAATTTCTTACCTTGGTCCCTGAGGCTTTAATTTTTTCCACATACTCCCAGACAGTGTGAGGAGATATCCTGCCACCTACTTGAATACTATCTGGTAAATCCTATAAGAAAGAACAACAAAACATACCTAATTTTATATACTCAAAATACTTAATTGATGATTAAATTGGGATTTTCAATGGGAAGTCAACAATTTGTAATAAACTAGTTCTCGCTCGACACTATTCCCTCTTTCTCTTATAGTTATTTACTTGAGTAACATTAACTGCAAAGGTAATGTTCCCCTGTTCTGCAACTACATAAAGTATCTGTAAAATTTAACTGCTGTGAGAAAGCTAAGTCCATCAAGGAATAAAACAAACTATTTTAAAATTTTAATCATGAGGGGAAAAAATACCCTGCATGCAGACCTATATTTGTTCTTAGACACTATCAAGTTCACTATTCACTATCAAGTGACATAAGTGGACTTACAGAATCATTTAGTAACACTTTAGGAAAAAAAAAGCGGGGGGGAGCTGAATAATTTTTTTGCAAAATAATCCTTTCCTACGAAAGAGGACTGTATACCCTGCACTACTTACAGCAAAGTAAATATAATCACATTAACAGAAGATCTAACTAATTAGAAAGCGGACGCATCCTGTGTCACTGATGAGAGTAACACAGAGCCTTATGAGCTCTTTGATCTTTCGTACATTAACTTTTATGTTTTAACGCCAATTAAGACTAGATTAGAATAAATAAAACTCCTCCTATACCATTTTCTATTGTAAAAGACAAAATCTGCACTGTCAACAGAAACCACAAGAGTGGGCACGTTTTTTCCTGGAGAGGGGGGTAAAGAGGAAAAAAAAACGAACAAAAACCAAGCGAATCGCTCCCCCCTGCCATCCCAGCTCTTTTAATGCTTTGAGTTCAAAACAGCTATCATTTTCTCACCTCTAATTCAAGAAATGGAGGCCACAAAGATGGTTATTTTGATGACAAATGCTGTCCTACCTTACACCATTCTACCTTCATACTACTGAAAATGTTCCATAATGAACTAAATACAGTTAAACATTCATAAAAGCAGCTCTGGAAATACTGCTGGTCATTCTGCATGGAACATAAGAGCAAAACATCCCGACAGGTATCAGAGAATTTAAAACCTTTAAAGGTCCGTTTATATACTGAAAAATACTTTGCTACCAAATATGTAAGCCCTACCTAACCTTCTTCGGCTTACAAGCACTTTGCTCAGTATCATGATTGTGCTTCACTGCTTTCTATCATCACCTTATAAGCTAGTAATAGTATAAACAAATTAGTTTCAAGTTAATAAATGAACTGTTCATTCCTTACAATAAATATAAATACCTCTGTTAAATACTCAAAAGAGCCAGAGACTGGATAGGCCTTAATGACAAACTTTGCCACAGAAGGCATGTTGATAAAACCCTTCCAGATGAAATTCAGGCGTGCCAGAAACAGGGTTTCGCTTTCCACAGTACCAGGTGTTTCTGATCTAAAAACAAAGGCAAAAAGGTCTGTCAGTAACACAGTACAGAACAAAGGATCATGCAAGCCATGATCTCCAGTAAAATAAATTATGTAAAATGAAGAATTTTCTTTTTCACTTGAACAGACTTGTGGTTCAAGTATGGAGAAGGGTGAGACAGATAACTGTATTTCTCATCTTCCAGTAAAAGAGATACGGACAGAATATCAGTTCAGTAGTGTATCCTTTGAGCATGAAAGACCCACGTAGTCTAAGAGTTACTAAGTGCTATTAAAAGGACACAAATGCTAATGGCACTGCAGACCAAATAAGGGCATATATAGCATTATACATTGTTCAAACTCTCCCATTATTTAAATACCTTTTGTGTCAGGAACCACTGTAAGCAGTGGCCTGTTGCACTCACAATGTAGATGCACAGTAAGCAACATGTAATGAGTGCTGGCCTTGAATTGACACATAAGCACATTAACGCAGGCAACTGAATAAAACCTTTTTTTTTTAAACACTGTAACATTTCTAAAAGCATAACCAGCCACAATGCATAAACATTTTCCAACACAGTTAAGCATAAGCAGATAAGGTGCAATCACAAATAGAGATTTCTGGCTTAGTTTCATAAATCGGGTGTAGGAAACTAACATGAACAACAGTGAAATTTGCAAGATAATGACAAAGGGTGTATGCCAGGCAGCAGAGGGCTCTGGTAGAACCCTCTGGCAGAATCGTCCTCCAGAATAAACAGAAAAGGTGTTTGGCAAAACCAGAACAACTGCAAAAACTCTCATAAACTACACTGGGCACAGATGATTCTCCCTTGTGTCCCCCACTCCTCTTTTCCCTCTGGAGAGGGCACAGCAAGCCTCAAACACCAGTGATGAGGATGGAAAAACAGGGAAGAACAGTCCCTGTTTCAGTTCCAATTTCTCAAACAAAAAGAGTTACAGTGTAGCCACCTTGATCTCCTTGGCACTGACTGGACATCGGTGCTAATTGCAAGGCATCTGCTTCACTTTTAAGAAGCAACTGTAACAATATATATAGGCATGGACTGATAAAGAGTAAAAATATATTATGCTTGTCAATGTTAATGACTCTCATTTCTGGAAAAGAATTGTTTTGAGATTTGAAATTAATCTGATTTGAAACTAGTCTTTTATGTGTTTAGATTATGGCAATCTCTAATTCACTAGTTTGAGACGTGTATATATAGAGATATAAACAAACATGCACACACAAAGACACACACACACATATATACCTCCACACACTCAACTGCAACACTGTATGTACCCTGCTGCTTAGCAGCATAACACAATCAGAAATCTTAATTCTGACCTACTTAATATGAACCCACAATGTTGTTAATTTGTAGGCACCTCTGCACTAGCAAATGCAGGGCAGCTTATTTTCCCCAAAAGGAAATGTGACAATTACAGGTCTGTATTCACAACAATACAAATGGTATTATTTATACAAACGCATAGCATGATTTACTCTAGCAAGTAACATCACTCCTAAGAAGAGTTCTGTAATGTCAAGTACAGAAGTGGATTATGAAATACCAGAAGAAAAAAAAAACAATTGGGGTTAAGAGCTTAATGACAGGAATAATGTCTTTTATTTAAAAACACCTCAACAGTTTTATACTACCTTGGGAGAGATGAGAATGGTGATTTTGATGAGTCTTGTTTATCATCTTCCAATAATTCTGAAGCTAAAATACTTGATGTTGAAGAAAGTGCATCTGCAATGCTCTCTGCTTCATTGTCTGACTGCTTCCGTGCAACTCCAACAGACACTTTCACTTTTTTCGCAGAAAGATCATCAGTAGGTGGTGCCATTCGGCCTAGAGAAAATAAATTGGAATGATTTTTACTTTTAATTAGAGGAAAAAGTCGATTTTCTCTGAAAACATGGAAGAAGCACTGAAAAATACAGTACTACCATTGCAGTTGGACAGCATAAAGAAATGAGGAAGCAAATATAGCAGGTACACCCATTTATAAGATTTATTTCTCTTTTTGCAATTTATTTTTTATAGAACCCATCTTTACACCAATAGCCTATCATTTTAAAATAGTCTCTTTCTGTAAACAATAAAGTAAAATATTGCTTCCACATCATTGCCTGTAAACTGGAGATAAAAACATTTATTTACATTCTTGAGGTGTAATGAGTTGAAAAACACTATGCAAGTGTTTTTATTGTACTTTTCAAAATTACCTATGCAGATTTTGCAGTTAAGATCAAAGAGGTGATTTTTGTGTTGACTTGTGGTGTCTGGAGATGTAGACTCATTTCCTTCTTTATCTTTTTCAGCTTCCTCTGTCTTCTCAAACAACTTCAGCGTATTAGGTTCCTAAGGAAAGTTAAATATTATTTTTTTCCTTTTTTTGTTAATGTTCCTAATAGTAATATTCATATTTTTCCCCCCTCAATATTGTCTTTCATTCAGGCATAAAATGCTCCTTTCAGATCCACTTTTTCTGAAAGAATATCACAAAAGCTACAAACGATTTAAAACATAAAACAGACACTCCTAAATTTCTTTTAGGTAAGATTTAGAGTATTTTCTACTGTCGATGGAATTTAGACCATCATGAACACAACAACAAGAAAAACAAAACAAAACAAAAAACTGTCTCAATCCTGAAGTGAAAATCAGCGAGGATAAAAGAAAATTTAAATTCAAAATAAAACAAAAATTTAACATACAGTTTTAAGAACAGAATTACAAACAGATGACTTTACAACCATATATATATATATACACATATATATGTGTGTGTATATATATTTTATACTGTAATTGCAAATTGTATTCCTTTTTACCTGAATTTCCATAGCTTCTTGTTCTTTTATTGGTGTTTCACTCTCAATCTCTATTTCCCCTTTGTGAGTAATTTTTGTGATAGGTCTTCTTTCAACTTCCCTCTGTTCTTTCTCAATCATTTCAATTGTCTGCAAGAAGAGCAGGTTATATACGTTTACTTTGAGATAAAAAATTAAATTCGAAAATCTAAAAATATAATAAAAAGCATTTCAGAAATCATGGAGAGGCAAAAAAGAAGTATATTCATATTTTACAATACACAAATCCAGCATTATAAACCTCACCTAAAAGACAGCAAATATTTATCAAGTATTTACTTTTGCATTAACACCTTCTCTTTGTTTCTTGAATACTAAACAGAATACAGGAGTCCTCCTGACTAATCAGAGTTGCTTAGTGCAACACACATTCTGGCCTTTGTAAACACACATGGCCTGTAAAGAAAAAAATAAATATACTTAAGTGGTTAATGAAATAGAAGTTGACAAATCTCACGTGTCTGTTTTCTCTTTGTCTCCAGGCAGCCAGTTCTTTGGATGCCAGTTCTTCTGGGCTCATTCTTATTAGATGGTCTGGAGTAACCTCTCCTTTAAGTACTTTTTTAAATAATATCTACAAGAAAGAAGAGAAATTAACTACTCCCATCCAAACAAACCAGGGCCTTCGTAACAGTCAACTAAGAAAGACAGCAGACAGTATTTACAGCTACGTAGACCATGTGTTGCTTAATACTTTATTCTTCAAGAAACACTGCTCGATTTTTTTTTCTTTAAGAAGAAAAAAAGTATTTCCAGAACCTACTGCTTATTCTATATAGCACAGTGTATAGAAAAACAAAATTTTTAATGCTTAGTGATCAGATGTAAAATTAACTGTTCTTCCAAAAGAGAAACTGAGTTTACGACTACTGTAGCCAAAGTGATTAGAACAACTGATTAAAAAAAAAAAAAAAACCCCACAGGCAAGAGGTTGATGAATTGACTCTGATGTTGAAAAGCAGACTCCTGAATGCACAAAAGTGATGTAGACAGTGACGATTTTTCTTCAGCAAAGACCAAATTTAAAAAAACTGTGTGCAAATAAATGATGTGAAAAAGCTTTTGCATGAAAACAAAATAAGCACAAAAAGGACTATTCCAGGAAAAAAAGACAAACACAACAAGCAAGCACTATCCCCTTCACCTTGAAAACCTATTATAAAGCACAGCACGGGCAAGGAGTTGCAGAATAAATGACAGGTAAAGAAGGAGAAATGGAACTTGCACGAGTGCATTGAGTGCACAGGAAAAGAATAAAAAATACTGAAGTCAGAGAAAAAAATAGAAAAAAAATAAGAGAACAAATTGTAAAAGTTTTAATAATATATCTGTACAGAAGACCACCTTTATCCTATTGCAAAAGAAGGATTTTTGTGAAGTATTATACACAAATAATACATACGTTATTTTTTGGATCTTTCAGATTGAACATTAAACTCCTGTATTTGTTCTTATACTTTGAATCAGTGTCCCGAAAAAAAGAAAAGAGTTCTTTTTCTATCCTTGTGGCAACTTTTCCTGCTCTCTCCTCAGGTATCTTTAAACTGGAGTCTGTCAATCTGTAAGAGAACACAAGGGAAAGTGGAAAAATTACCAATTTCCAAAACATTTTTTCTCTCTCTTTTTAAAAGAAGATAAACATAATTTTATATATAATACATAGGTATACATATATAAATACAAGTGAAAATACATATGTGTATATACACACACACACACCCCTACCTTTTCATGAGTATTTCTTTAAGAGACTGTTTGACACTTTGTCTTATCTGATCAGCAGAAGGTTTCGATGCTGACACAGCTGGCAAATGTGTTGTACTACTTGATCCTCCTTTTTCAATTTTCTTTTTCTTAATTTCTTGTTTCTCATGAACACCTATCAAAATACATAGAGTTAAAAATCTTAAACTACTCAGCCACTGATCCAAACATTTATTGTTATGGGATATCCTGAAGCTTTAGACGGCTAAGAGTTTACCTTCAGGAAGAAGGAATGGGCTCAGTGGGGTAGTTGTCTTGGTTAGTTTGATTAATCAAGAAGAAAAAAAAAAAAAAAACTTTTGCAACTCTTTGACTTAATGTCTTTTCTTCCACACCAAGACAAGAAAAACATTGACCAATAGCTGAATTTCTGTGAAAGCACAGATTCATTTTTCAGAAAAGCAAATTGGAAAATAATACATTGGAAAACATTTACTATAATAAGATTAAATTTTAAAGTAGAGTTTTTCATTAAAATTACATTTTTGAACCTACTAGCCATCAAAATTATTTCAATTCTAATAATCTCAGCAACTCCTCTAAGAAACACTCTTTCACAAAGCCACTATAAGTAATTGCAACTTTCAATGAAATCACAATAATTAAAAAAATTACTTCAGTTCCAATGTCTGAATGGACCACTCTAATTTAGAGCGATAGCTTTCCATTTAAGAATCAAAGGAAAAGAAACAATATTAACCTGAATTTGCTATTCTGAAAGGAATGAAACAGATTTTGAACCCTGATAAAGATTTAATGAGTATGTTTGACAGCAAGAGGAAATTCTTCTTTACTATTACTTTTGGCTATGGAGTGCAACTTAAAGTGTGTCAACACTAGACCCTTCTAACCACATTTTCAAGTAGCTAAGACAATGGTGTTATTTTCCCCTGGGCAGACTGCGTGCTTGGATCATGAACGCTGCGGTTAACGTGACTATCTTTGCATCCCTCACCAAAAAGACAGCGTGGACTTGATAACATCACTTACCATTATTCTACTCTGTGACCTAACATATGAAAACATCAGGCTTGCTCAATAAAGTAGCTCTAATACTGCTTTTATTTGGTCAATATGCTTTTTGCTTATCTGCTTCTCAGAAGCAGATGAAGAACCGTAACAAAGTCTTCTCAAGAAAGCAGTCTGGGGAAACAGAAAGTCTCCCCATGACAACGACACCTTGGCAAAGTTTCAGTCAACAGAGTCCCACAACAGGGAAGTGATGGGCAATGTTACCAATAAACACCACCACTGTAAACATCACTCAAAGCAAGTAAAGATTAAGATAATTTTTCTGCTTAACAACTTTATGCTAACTGCCATAATGAGACCGCCAAGCCCTCACTTAAAAGTAATCTTTATTAAAGTAATGTAGTATCTGTTGTGAATTCATCAGACATTTTTTTGCCATCTCCTAATCTACTTAATATATTTTAGAAGAGTTAAAAAATCTCACAGATGTCAGAGACTTATTTCATTCTGTGTAATCTGCAGTTAGAAAGGATGTGAAATATTTTGTGACTCTAAGAAGATGAATAAGGAAGATGTCTGAACCAGTATACATGCTTACATTTAGACATACAATTAACTTAGCAGCTCTCCCTTAGGAGCAGAATTCAGGGCTGGAATTTAGGATTTTAGGATGAAGTTTTCTGACACAAAATCTCACTAGTCATGCTCCTGACATTCTGAGATTTCTGTGTCAAATGATAAAAATGTCGTATTATTTTTTCTCATAAGAATAAATAAGAATAATCCTTCTGGGAAGGGTGCATTTTTGTTTGCTTGCTTGTCTTTTTTGGGAGGGGGCGGGGAGCAGGATTGGGAAGAGTAAGAAGAAACAGGAGAGGGAAGTTATTTCCAAAGTGAAGTATGTTCCTTCAGGCTTTCAAATAAAATTTCATGTGAAAATTTGATGTTTTGATGTGCTTCGTTACCTTTTGAAATGAATTCTGAGATAATTTACTGATTTCTTTTGTCCAAATTGCCAAGTCAAATAATAATATTTATATAGCAATTAAAACACTTATATACATTGAATATTTGCTGTGTTTTATGGAAAAGTATCTCATTATCACAGTAAGAAATAAAGTTTAGGAGATGCCTTTGTGAATCTTTTCTCCCGTTACTAATTACATAAACATTTTCTCCCAGTCAAATCGAAAACGTCTACACAGGAAACATCTCCCTGTTAAACAAAACATAAAAGGATATAAGAAACAAAGATCCTAAACATCATGAGAACAAACAGTTCTCTAAACCACCACCCCTTGCACTACAAAATGTGGTTTTAGAAAAAATATTATGAAGGAAGTCCTTATGCTTCATTTTACATGTACATAAAAATGCATGTAGCACTCCTCCAAACTTCATTACCTGATTTTGTAGACTTTTCAATCGCACTAGGGGACTCTTTATTTGCTTTTTCGTTCTTATCCTCAGAGGACCTACGAGGAGGTATAGCAGCCTGGGATGCTTTCCGAGTAGGAATATGCTGCCCTTTTTTACCATCTGAGTCTCTGCATTCTGGCAAGTTTTTCCCCTCACCAGATTCCTGAAATAAACATTTACACGTTAGCATGCTACAGTGCTAACCACACAAACACTACAATGAACCACGCTGCAGTCACCACGCATTCTTCCCAAATATATATTTAAAGTTACATACAGTTAATACTGAGTAATTAAATCTTGGATGTATACAATATTAAATCATACTTTTTAGAATGTTATTAAGCAATATTTCAAAGTTATCAGCAAGTATTTTTTACCCATCTCTTCAAAAATCTGGCTCAATGCATAACACAGGCAATTTGCAATTATGCTCCACCTGGAAAACAACTGCCTGCTTAAGAGCTATATAGAAAGCCCAGGAATACAAACTAACATCCCTCATTCAACATTAGCTGAATATGCAGAGCAAGACACGTGACCAGAAAGTGCAGATATTTGGTCAAAATTATACAGAACAGTTTATATATCAGAATCATAATACTACTATTCAGGAAGGTAAGGCAAAAAGGATCACCAAGAATTACATCATGACGAATATGATGCTATATACTAAAACATTCTGCTGTATAGTAAAAACAAGTCATCTCACTGCTCTGGCTTTGGTTAGTCAACTAAGACAAAAGAAGCAGAAAGACTACAATTAAAACGTTAAATATTTTCTATGTAAAATCTGAAGTTAAGTCAACGTCTTACAGATATATGTACATACATTTATAAAAAAAAATATATTTTCTATGTAAAATCTGAAGTTAAGTCAACGTCTTACAGATATATGTACATACATTTAGTCTATTGACATAGGCCCAACAAAAGCAACATATTTCTCTTCCAGAATTCTAGTCAACTTCTTCAAGATATCACTTATGTAAAAGACAATAGGCCAATGTGCCAACGAGCCTCTATCACACTATTAATTGTAACAGTGACTGTTTAATGGTAACATCTGATACCAGAAATTCCAAACAGGATTTGCGAACTAGGGTGAAAGTCTCATCTATTAAATTTTCCATGTCTTCCTTCTCTGGACAGAAGGTTATGAGCTGTTTCTGAATAGGGTATTTTGCTTGAATTTCTTTTATTTTGAATATATATATATATATGTATTTAAAAAAAAATCACACAACACATATTTGTGTATGTTTCATGTGTGATATGCATGAGTATATATATGTACGTTATACATATCACAGACAATATACTTCTGTGAAATGTAATAGAAAGGTGTTGAGCAGTAATACACTTCTCAAAAGAAACAAAACAGTTTTAAAAATGTACTCTAAAAGTAAAACTCAAGTATTAGATAAGATTCATATTTTCTCCTAAACTACAAACATGAAGATTAAGGATTTTACAGTATTTTAAATTATAAAAAGTTAGGAGAAACATCTCTGCCCAAAGCCCAATAATTAGAACTTTAAACATTAAACAAGACTTACCCTTCTAAAAATTTTGACTTTGTGCTTCACTGTGTCCTCTGCTTGCCTCATTTTCTCAGTCATGCTTACATTACAAGTAGGTGTTTGCTTTGACACTCCAGGTTTTTCACTTTCCGTTGGTCTTTCTTCTTTATAGATTTCATGTTTCACGTGAGGATCCTGTAGGTTTGGATCCAAGGACTCTGTTTTTTTGTCTTCTTCAGCACAGCATTTCACACACACATATTCTTTATCTTCTTCACCCATCTGCTGTGCTTGAGAAAGACTCAGTCCAACACAATCGCCATGAAACCAATCATCGCATCTACCGCAGCCTACCATAAACCTGGAAAGAAAGATAAAAATCAGTAAATAGACTAAAAAACAACACATGCCAACTTAAGCAGAATACAGCATACTTATTTTTAATTGTCCATCACAACAACTTGTTCTTACCTGAAAAATGACTTTCTTTCTTTGTAGCTTTACATCCATCTCCAGCCTTACGACATGGTATGATCTTCCTGAGAAATAAGCTTTTGTGTCGCGATAGTCCAAGAGATTATCATAACCTCGTGATGAATTTACAACCTCTCCCTCTTTTTTTTCTTTTTTTAAGAGTATAATTTAAAAAATTGAGATGCAAAAAAGGAAAGCTCTCAAAACTGATAAACAAAAGTTTCAAAAAGAAATTTCCTTGCAAGCGCACTATCCTTACTTTTCCTTCAAATAATATCACCATGCTTACAGGAGAAATGTGACAACTGATATAATATAATCTTCAACATGCTGAAGTATTTTAGGAACTATTATAAGCACAGAAGCCTAAAACATTATAAATGAGTAAGAATTTTACATCATATTCTTTAGCCACTACTGAATTACTTACAAAAAAGTAGCATTTTATTCTATTTATTCTATAGTAAATTAGGAGCCAGGAGTCTGGCTTCCATTACAGTTCAAATGGCTAGCTAGCATTAATGGATTTTTATTTATTTTTAGCTAAGGTATATGCCACTTCAGTGTTGCTCAGCTCTGACTTTGGTATTTCATGCTTGAGTTAGATAAGGAACATCTCAAACATTGAAATAAATACTGTTTACCGTGTATTCCCCCATCGCATAGTCAGTTCTCTTACATTATTTTGACAGCAATATTTTAGATAAGGTATTTTCAATATTGCAAATATCGCCAGTCTAAAATAAATTTTAATTTTTAACTATTTAGCTGAAGCATTTGAAAATAGGTAGATCATTAAAAGATAATATTAGTACCTAGTTACAACATTAGGTACAATTTCTCAGTGTTACTCTTTAAAAATGGGAAATTTCAAAAGTAGAGAGGTTAAACACCTCAATAAATCTGTTTCTAGAGACTGCTAACTGCTAGTAATTAATTTTATAACCCTTTCTTCCAATCATGAACCTGGCATAACTACTTAAGATTTGTATTCCAATGAAGCAGAAACTGCTCCTGCATTATCCACTTTTCCTGTCATTCTAATATTTATATTAAATATATGTTTATATTTATTATTATAATTTTTACATCTAGCTGGGGAAAATCCAAAATGACAGCAGAAGTGCTGCAAAAAATCCAGTTTGTTTGTTCATATGGAAAAACTTATTTACTGAATTCTTGATGGTTAAATACCATAGAAGACAGAGCTAATTTAAAAATAATTCAATGAAATACTGGTCCCTGACTCACAAACCCTGTTCTTTGATGCAATATCCTATAAAACCCTTTTTTAAAGAAGATTCTAAGGAAGAAGATTCCTAACTTATCTACCTATGTTCCTATGAAGTTTAGGATCTGTTGACTTACCTACTTTGTAAGACTACATAAATATTACAAAATGTGCTTAAAGGAACTCTTCTTATTCACCACAGAACTGTAGGTGCAAACACTCCAGATTGTTCTGTGGCTACTGCTACATTCAAGAAGCTACAGGTACCTCAAAATACCGAAGTCCTACCCTCTAACTGTAGAGCTTTGATATCCAAGAAGAGGAAGAAGAAAATACAGTGGGTCTTATGTTCCAGCCTTGCTTACTCCACACAAATCAAGACTAAATCTAAACTAAACACTCCTGATATGAAATGAGTCTGAGAAGTGCTGAAGCTCCAGAAATTTCAGCAGAAGACCATATGCAGCTTCCCCAGCCTATATGACTATGTTGCCGTTTATTAGATTTGATGAAGCCAGTCTTAAAGCTAGTTTATGAAAAAAGCTTTTCTAATTGTTATTTTAATTGAGTTAAAAGTAGTTTTTTATTATTATTCCTCACTAAAAAAATGTTTATTAGTTTCAGCTACAAAAGCACAGGTTCCTTCTAGATTCACGAATACCTAAGTCTTTCCAGATCTACGTTCCAATAAAATGATGAGATACAAGGAAGTTGGTCACATTATAGGATAATCCTTTCTGATCATTTTAGCACAATATCATAGTATTCATAAACACAAAAGGCAGACAAAAGTGACAAGAAACCTGCTCCTTTCTGAGAGCCCACAGTCAAAGACTAGTTTGCAGGAAACACAGCATGGGGACCTGTTTCACAGTTAGAGTGGTCAACACATGGATGCTCTACATGTTCTGCACGCTGGATTACTAGTAAAACTTTGGGGATACCAAAAAAAGAAAAAAAACCCAAACATGAGGTTTTCACAGAACTAAGATTAAATCAGAGAAAAAAAAAGTGCTTCTTAATACTTAAAAGATACTTTAGTGTACAAATTAACATGTTAGCTGCAATTTGAACAAAACTAAAAACACACTGCCTTGAAGCCACAAATACTACTTGAATTTTATTAAAAATATAAATATATATAAAATTTGTTTTCCATTTTAGAAATTCAAGCACTCTTTAAATCAGTAAGGCAGATTACAAACTTTAATAACCGAAAATGAAAGATTTAACTTTTTTTTTCTTTTTTTTTTTTAAGGCAGAATGGACTTGCGTATCTTCAAGTTGACAGGGCAAGGAATTTTTCAGCTTAGATCAGGAACAAGCAGGCAATATGGATCGTGAGTGATACCACTAGTCAGTCATCTAATTTAAGTCTATATTGAGGCCAATGAATACTAGAAAGAGCTGGGGTTTGTCCCCCACCCTTACAACAAACACTTTATCTAATTTGGATGGTCTAAAATGTGTAGTAGGAGGCTGTAGGTCATTTGTTTGTTATCTGAAAGTATAAAGTTTCAGACTCCAAGTGATTTTTCTCTTGGTTGTTTAACCTTGTTGGACATACATAGTTCAAGGCAATGAAGCGGAAGGGAAGAAGCATTTTTCCAAAAATAAACTGATTAGTAACTGATTATTTAGAGTCCAGCTTCACAGACATATACGTGTGTGCTTTCATTGATTTTTTTTTTATATTTTTTCTATATTTCATACAGATTTCTTCACTGAACAAGAACACCAAGGTGAACAGCTGTCACTCAAACCACCTTAAAAAAACTACTGAAGATGGAATATCCATTTGGTTTCATTCCAGTCTTTTCAAGGAGGTTTAAATTACACCAGGCTTAACCATGCGCAGTAAATCCTTGGATTCAGAAACCAAGACTACAAAGACAGATTCTGGAAATATCCACTAAGCTTCTACTATAAACAGAATTCGAGTATTCACAGCAATTTGGCTTAAACCTAGTTATACAAAATGACATAAAAATATTGGTGCTTACTCCCTAAAACTTTCACTGCTTTTACTAGAATGACTTCACATCAGTAGACTGCAACTTCCAAGGCTCGGAGGGAAGATACTAGTTTTGATACGGATAACATGAATAATCCTTTTTATCGTAAGGTCACTTTTACATATTTTTCTTTTCCACTAATCTATACATAAGATGTAATTGTGATTTGTAGTATTAATCATATTTGGACAAAGAGACAGTAGCAGGGCAATGCTCAGAGACTAAAAAGGGGAGCCAAGGAAGACTGAAGCCTGGCTTGAAGGATCATGGATGTCTTCTTGCACTGCTGTCAGTTGTGACTGAAGAGGTTCTGATATCTGGGACTATTTAAATACCAAATTTTCTGACTGTAGACTGCTTCAAGTTTGCAGTGCAGAAATTTTAACCATGTTGTAAGGCTGGATTGGAAGATGTAAAGCTGAAAGAGAAAGAAAAAACACGTTTTACAATAATAAATCACGCCTTAATAAAAGATTAAATTGCTTTTACTAGTTTTAATATAAACACAAGATTATGTTTGAGAACAATCTCAGAGCTGAAAGGTGAGTAGTCAGTATTATAGTTCTTTGGGACACGGAGAAAGTTACTGTCTCAGGCCTTTTAAAGAGTTCTTGGCAGCCCTCACACATCAGCATGAAGAGATAGCTCAAAATCTGAAAGTATAGGATTACACATAAGATGACAGAGAATAATTAATACAAACCTTCCATGCTCTCTTTTAAAATTAACCCATTTTCTTTAGCATGTTATTTGTAGTAAACTAAAATTCATCTGTGAGATGGAAAGTTCAGGCAGGCTTAGAATATTTATTTTCAACATATACAGGCTATTTTTAAAAATTAATTTGCATACATTCAATTTATAGGACAAAAACAATTATTAAAAAAAGATTTTAAAAATAATTCAGGCAGAAGCCAGTTTACTCAAATGTTTGCTGTAAAACTACGTTTACGAGTAAAACAAAGGGGAAAAAAAAGTAGCTGTCAGAGCTTAACTCAGTTGGAGCCAGTAATCGGCATTTTAAGATTTACTCATAAATGTAACAAGCACATTGCCATAGATAAACATTTATTTCAGAATAATTTCCTCACTTTAGCCCACTCCACTTACTTTAACAAAGGGAAAATACTGAAACAGAACTAAAAACTTGAATTAGAAAAAAGCTTAATCCTTTTTTAAGTTTTTTTTT